GAAGACGGTGGCAGAGGCTACAGTAAGGCAGCTACAAGCCAAGGGGGCCAAGGATTGCTGCAGCCCCCAGAAGCTGGGAGGAGCATGTGGATTGGACCCTTCCCTATGGCCTTGAGAGGGAATGTGGCCCTGTCAGCACCCTGACTTCAGACTTTGAGCCTGCTGAACTGAGAGAGAATAAATTTGCTGTTTTTTTGGTTGTTATGTTTTCTGTCTTTTTGAGGCAGGGTCTTGCTATGCAGTTCAGGCTGGCCTTGAGATTACTTTGTAGCCCAGGCTGACCTTGAACTCACAACGATCCTCTTGCCTCACAAGTGCTCGGATTACAAGCGTGTGCCGCTGCCCGGGTCTAAATTTGTTGTTTTAAAACACCCACCTTGTAATTTGTTACATCAGTCCTGGAAAACTAACACAGTCTTTTATTTGGGGACAGGGTTTTGTTATGTGGCTCAGGCTGGCTTTGAACTCTGTAATCTTCCTGCCTCAGCCTCCCAAGTGCTGGGAGCGCAGGTGAGTGCCACCATACCAGACTCAAATACATACTTTTAATAAGCTGAGTAGGCTATTGACTTTTGAGGGCTGACTTTATATCAAGCTATGCTACTGAATTTGCTTGTTAAATCTAGCACTCTTTTAGTGTTTTGGGGGTCTTCTATGTAGAACATCATGTCATCCACAAATAATGATAATTTAACTTCTTCCTTTCCTATTGTTATTCCTTTTATTTCTTTCTCTTGTCTAATTGCTCTGGCTAAAGTTTCCAGAACTATGTTGAATAAGAGTAGAGACACTGGACATCCTCGTCTTGTTCCTGATTTTACAGTGAAAGCTTTCAGTTTTTGTCCATTTAGTATGAGGTTGGCTGTTGATTTGTAATAGATGGCTAATAAGCTTAGTAGGAAAAAACTAAAAATGTACATTTTTAGGAGATATGTATAGGGTTTCTGCTCTAGACACAAGGAGTTGGGGCAGCGGGGTCTGCAGCATTCACCTGTATTCGCAATGAGTTTAGCCCTCAATCCCAAACCTTTGCTCAACAGATTAACAGCAAAGCCAGTGATGGTCAAACTCAAGTGGGGCATGGAGTACAAGGGCTACCCGGTCTCCGTGGATGGCTACATGAACATGCAGCTTGCAAATACGGAAGAATACATGGACGGGGCATTGTCTGGACATCCGGGGGAAGTCTTAATAAGGTGTAATAATGTATCAGAGGTGTTGAAGAGGAAGAAGAGGATGCGGGAGATGAGAGAATAGCATCTTTTGTGTTTTTTATACATATATTTCTAGACAATAAAGATATGTTGTTTTTCAAAAAAAAAAAGGAGATGAGTATAATAAAACTGCACAAGAAATAAAGCAGGAAGTGATGAATATGGTGTTTAAGGTGATGGTGACCCCACGCGGGGGAGAAGAGGGGATCCTCCAGTTTGGGCGTTGGCCACTGGCAGGGTCCTAGTTTTTGCTGTAATAGATGGGCTACAGGATACAAACTGAAATAACTACACGGCTGGGGGTGCAGCTGAGGGGCGGAGCACTTGCCTAGATGTGCGAGCGAGGTCCTGGGTTCCATCCCCAGCACAACAAAACACCTCAAAACTCAAGCACCTATGAACAATGTTAATAAGGAGGGTCAGGCAAAGACTAGAGAAAGGAATACACCATGGTGAGACACTATCCCCAAAATTTAAAAGGCTGGGGGAAGTAGCTTAGTGGTAGAGTGCTTGCCTAGTATTCATGAGACTCTGAGTTCTATCCCCAGCACTCCCTACCCCCAGGAATTCAAACATAAATACATAGAAATTGATACCTTCTAGCTTATAAGTGTTGACTGCCCAAGATTCTGGGCCCGAGGTTGGTCTCCTTCCAAGTTAGAAGGGTGCTGGGCCAGCCTCCGGGAGATGTTAAAGCCACCTTAACAGTAAGCAAGACTTTTTGAAAGAAAATTGCTGTGCATCTCAGGGCTAAGAGGCACCTTCTCTGTGTCCCAGCCAGCCTCACCCTGCAGAATTAACCAGTAGGTGCCCTATTACCCTTCAGGAAACTCCCCTGTGGACAAGCAGTTTTCATTCTGTTCGTAGCCTGGGACTCTATGGGGATGCCCTGGGCAAAGACACCTCCCCAGCCTGGTGGTCTCTGGCTAGGCGAGGAGCCCAGCTGTAGGCCATTTCCCCTGAGCCGGGCAGAGGCCTCTCCATCCTCAGGCCCAGCAAGGCCCTGTTTTGTCCCCGTCCCTCTGGCACCCAGGGAAAGTGGGCATCGGGCCAGGCTGACACAGGGCAGGCCCCAGGGAGCTGGGTGAGCTCACCCTCGCCCTCAATTATCTTACTGGCTACTGAACGGCTGAGAACCTCCAGCCCATCTGACTGGGAGGACCCCAGGGACGCTGGGCCAGATGTCACTGTGGAGGGAGGTGCCAGGGACCCAGAGAGAGGAAACGGGTTTGGGGGAGGGGAACTCAACTTCCTGCCTCTTTGTTGGGGAGAGAAAGCTGGGGCTGGGGCAGGCATTAGGGTCATGGTTAAGCACATGACTCTGCACTGACCTTGAGGGCTCAGCCACACGTGTGGCACCCACTGCCTTTGCGGCCTTCAGCAAGTGCAGCCCCTCACTGTACATTGTGGTTCCCAAACCACCAGCACCCCCAGGGAGGCGTGAGAAACGTGAAGGCTCAGGCCCAGACCTACAGAGTCACTCTGCATTTTGACACACTCACCCTAGGCCGACTTGAGTGCTTCATCTGCAGACTGGGGGATTAAATGAGCTCCTATACCTGTAGTGATTACAATCGCTGCCAGTAAGTGCTGGAGAGGTGTCTTCCACTATTTTCACTGCCATTTACTATTATCGAAGCATTCTTTTTTTTTTTGGTTTTGGAGACAGGGTCTCCCTATGCAGTTCAAGGGCTGATTTTCCTGCCTCTGCCTCCTGAGTGCTGGGATTACAGGTGTGGGCCACCATGCCTGGCTAGTGAAGCATTCTGGGCAAGGTGATGGCTAGGCCAGGTGGGTTACTGCCAGCCCCCTCCCTTCACCTCTCAGCATCCCGAGATGGGTTTCATGAAATGCAGTGTGAAGAGGAGGAGGCTGAGGCTCACAGACATGCAGCAACTTGTCCAAGATCCAAATGAGAAAGCCTGGCCAGCCCAGTGCTATTACCGAGGGGGCAGTGGGTGAGTGGCACTGCCTCTTCTGTGCCTAGGTCTTTAGTACTTACCTCGCTGGGCAACGACCTCGCTGGAAACTCCATTTTTCAGAAGACTGAAGTGCGATATAGAGGGGTCAGGCTGCTTTTCCAAATGCAGCCAACAAGAAAGGCTGCATTTGAACCTGGGCAGTGTGACTCATTTCTACACCATGCTTCACCGTTTCCCCAGAACCTTTTCCTCCAACGTGGCTCTGCCTCCCTGCCATCGCGCTACCAGCCCCAGCTAATTCTGCCTCTCCCATGTCCTCACCACTAACGAGGTCTTGGTCAACCTGAGGCTGGGACCACAGAGGCCACTGGAACCGTCTGTGGGAAGAACCTGCTTCCTTCCGCTCTGCACTCCCCAGTGTGACCCAGGTGGCAGGAGCTTTGTTTGAGGGCAGTGCAGTTTGGAGACTGGAGATTCCTGGCTCTGACCTCCGGGCAGCAGGTCTGTAGCTGGGTTTCCCTCTTTCTCTCTGTGCCCCACAGGAGCTCAAAGCCCTTGCTCACCTTTGAGCCTGACCTTCAAGGCTAGGGCGCAGCTAAGCCGCTTCGAGATCTGCTGTCAAATCATCCACTCCATATACATTTATTCAGCACCGACTGTATGCCAAGCACTGTTCTGTAGATCCAGCAGTGCACAGGAAGACCTAGTCCTGGGGAGACATATAGTACTCAAACTGATCACACACGCAGGAAAATGCACAATTTCCCAAAGGACAGGAGAGATGACGCTTGGACAGATCAATGAGAGCTCTCCTGAGCAGGGAGCCGTAAACAGCGCTGCAAGGCGGCGGGGGCTACCACAGGGGTCTGTTTGGGGCTGGGAAAGATGATTCTGGCCAACATCCCAGGTGGACTTGGCCCCAAGTACTCTGTCTCCCCAAGTACCCGGGCCACAGAGGCCTTGAAGGAAGCCTCCTCACCCCTCTTTCAGCACAGCCGGCCCCAGGGGCGTGTCCCCTGGATGGTCGTCTTCTGGGAACTGCACTAACTCAACTCTGCGCTGCCATGCAGACAGGCCCGGTCTCAAATGGTGCCCCCATCCAGCGCCGGCAGGCAGTACTTCAGCTCTTCTGAGCCTCGGGTTCCTCATCTGTGAAATAAGACAATTTTTTTGGAGTTTGTTCTGATAAAATGTGATGAGTGGCTAGTGCGGGGCATGGCACCTGGTAGAGGCCTAACCAAGGGGTTAATATGTTTAAAAAGACCGTGATTATTCAGGGACCACAAATTCCCCGCGGCCCCTGCCCGAAGCGCCATGAGATCTGAGGGAGGGACCTTGTTGGGTTGGTTCGTCTGTTTCGGTAGCGACTGGCACTGCAGGCACAAGGTCCGTGTTCCCTAGGTAAGGAAGGGACGGATGGACACGGGTGAATACACTAGCAAGCGAACCAAAGAAGCTCCTTTCCCAAGCAAGGTCATTCGATATAGTGGTCGTGCCTCTCGCCGGCCGTAGCCCCGGGGTTCGCGGCAGCGTGCAACACTCTTACCTGCTGTGAGTCTCAATTTACCCTGGTTATCGGGCGCGTACAGGGCGGCCTGCCGTGCTAGGGTGAGCCCCGCTGAGGCAGGGCGCCTGTGGGTGCGGGCCCCTCACCCACAGGCGCCCAAGCGACGCGCGCCGAAGCTGAACCCGCCCCCACCCCTTGCTCGGCCAGCTGCGCTCAGCCCCCGCCCCCCTGGGCCCCAGGGCCCCCAGTCCCCGAGCGCACGTGACTCCGCCCCTGATGGCCCCGCCCCGCCGTCCCAGCGCGTGCGCCCATTGGTGCCAGACAGGTCCCCGCCCACTATCGAGGCGGAGCCAGGGGCGCCCCGCCCGCCGCAGAGCTGGGCTCCAGCGTCCGGACGGTGAGCTGCGGCCGGACCTGGCTGGCTGGCAGGCTGAATCGGGCCGGCGGGTTTGCTGCGGGGCAATCGTGCTGGGCTGCGGGCCGCGCCATGGTGAGCGGGGTCGGGTGGGCTGGGGCTGGGGCTCGCGGGAGGGGCAGGGGCTCGCGGGAGGGGCAGGGGCGGCCCCAGACGGGGCGGGGGCGCTCGAGGCGGCGGTGCCCTGGGCCGGGGTCTCGGCGGCCGGGGAGGAGCGGCGGGCAGGGGGGCGGCTTCGGGAGGGTCCGTTCCGGCGGCCGCGCCCGCCTTGGGGGCTCTTTGTCCGCTGCGCTGCGGCGAGATCCGGACAAAGGAGGAGGCGGGGGGGGGGGCAGAGGCTGCTTCGCGGGGAGCGGGCGCACCCCCACCCCGCCATTGCGAGTTCCCCGCCGCGGCTCGCAGTTCCGCCTCCTGCCTGGGCCTCTGGGCACCCCGGGACACTTCAGAAATTTTTCAAAATGTAGGGGAGAGACGGGGCTCTTTGTAGCCCCCAGCATGATCTGGAGGGTCCTGGGGGTGGGGGTCCAGGCCCATTTCCTGTGTGGGGAAACTGAGGCCGAGGCGCAGCGTTTGGTGCTGGTCCCGGTCGGCAGTGACTGCGCGGCGTGGGCAGGACTGGGTCTCGTGCTCCTTGTCCCCTCCCCCACCCCCGGTTGGGCCGACTTGAGTTGCCGCTCCAGCTGTCGCTTCCTCTCCAGCTGTCGCCCCCTGCCCGAGCCTCAGCTTCCCCGGAGCCTCTCCTTACTCCTCCATAGAGTGGGGGAGACTCGGCGGCGTCGCCTGGCGGATTAAATGAGAGGGTGCGTGGAACGAGCCTGGCACCGTGCCTGCTCACCGCCCGCGCTCCGCAAGCGGGAGCTGCCAGGACGCTTGTCATTCCCGAGTCCCCAGCATCGTATGCGTCCTGGCTCAGGTCACTGAGCTTACCTCCGTGGGCGCCACGCCTAGGGGAGAAGAGGTAGGGAGGTGCGGGGGTCAGGAACGTGACATTTTGGTCAGGTTTGAAATCCACAATTTGAGATCCAAGCTGCCTGGGGTTTGAATTTGAATTCGTGCACACCTCCGTTTCAGCTGTTGTGACCTTGGATAGTTGACTTAACTTCTCTGAGCCACAGATCTTTATCTGCCAAGTGGGAAGAGGTATAATAACTCGAGGGTTTGGAGGCAGAAATCTCGGAGACGTCTACGGGAGTTGCTCAGTGATGTGTCTGGCACACAGTAATCAGCACCAACTTATGTAGCATCTGCTGGCGTTACTAAAGTTGTTTGGCCAAAAGTTTCGACCCTGGAGGAGTCCCGAGGATGGTCAGCACGAGTCACTGGGTGAGGGCAGAAGCCTCAGACCTGGGCTGCCAGAAACCTCGACTGACCTTGGGGCAGTCCCCAGCTCTTTGGGTTCCAGCTTCCTCTTTTGTCTGGGGAACCTGGGGGCTTCTGGAGGGAGTTTCTCCTTTGGGGAGGAGGTGGGGGAGGTGAGATGGCACCAGCTCCCTGTTGAGCTGGGCGCAGCTCCACCGGCATTCCTGCTGTGCTTGCTCGAGGCTCTTGGAGGGCATGGACCTTGTGGGGTGCATCATTATGACCCAGTGCTTTCCAGGGCAGGGCATGGAGTGGATATTTCTATCCTCATCCTGATCGTCCAGCAGTGCCCACTTCTCCCTTCAGTCCTGTTTACTTATTCACAGTCCAGGGCAGGAAATGTTGCTGGGTTGTGAATTGGGGTCCCCTGAAGAGGCGAGGCTGGTTGGGCGGCACGCTTGTTGGTTGGCTTTGTTGGAGTGGGTGCGTGGCTCAGCCCTGCAGGCAGTGCTGGAAGACCCGAGGGTTGGCCACCCCCTGTAAGCAGGACAAGCCCGCTCCCTGAGGAGCCCTGGGAGGAGGAAGCTGCAGGTGGGGCTGGCCCACTGGTGCTCAGCTGAGCTTGGCAGCAGTCATGATGTGCCCAGTTAAGTGAGGAGGCAGGCAGCATGTCCTTGAAGAAGGGACTGTTTGTGACTTTGGGCAGGGCCAGGAGGTGAGGCTGGGGATGTGTCCTTACTTACTTTGCACATGGCAGTTAGGGCAGAGTGGTGGAAGGGGGAGGGGACGCCCCTGCCTGCTATGGGCTTTGCAGGTGAAGGTTTATTGTAGGATCCTATGAAGATGAAGGGCCACCAAGTCCCCTCCTCCTTGGGGAAGACCTAGAGGAGAGACATGGTCTGGGAGGGAGTGGGATTGTAGGAGACTCCTGCTCTGACTGGGTTTCTGAACCCACTGGTTTGAAGAGCTGAGCCTCAGCCCCTGTGTGTGCCCTGGGGCTCAGTTCTTGCTCTCTGAGCCTTGGGAAACTGGGTACAGCAGTTCCTATAACACTGCAATCTGAGCAGCGGTGAGAGGCCCCAGACCCCGTGCTGGCCAGGGATCCCCTGGAATCTGTTGTTCCTGTTCTTCCGCCAGGGGACATGGGTGTCCTGTGCTTCTGCTGACCTCCTTTAAGGGTGTTTGGGGGCAGGAGCTCTGCAAACTGGAGAACCTGGGCTTTTCCAGGAGTGATAGGTCAGAGGCTTGGAGCAGGAGGGTGTGGCCCAGATGGAGTTGTCCCTGGGGGGAGCCAGCTGACCTTGAGCTTCAAATGCCAGACTTGTCCTGGACTTTAAGCGCCTGGGAAGCTGGGGAGGGGATGCTCCTGAGTGCCAGAGCCCTTTGCCCCTAGCTGGGACCCAGTCGTGTGCTGGCTAAGCTGTCCCTCTGTATGTCTAGACCCTCCCTCTGCTCTTCCGGGCCCTTTTCTGGGATTACGTTCTGCTTCCTACCTCTTCCTGCACCCTTGTGCAAGCCTCTTGAACGCCATGTGCTCAGTTTCTTCACCTGCAAACTGGAGCGATAACAGCAAGCAAAGCTGGCCACCGGGTGATGGTGGGGTATATGAGGTGAATATGAGTGGCTGTGGTGATTGTCCTGAGATAGCCCAGGTTTCCCACGAGCCATCCTGGGTATCTCCCTTGCCGGGGCTATGACCCTCCTTGTCCTACCATGTCCCATGGGCACTTGCTGTGTGCTGGTGACAGGGCAGGGGACATAGCCATAGGCAGGGTGGACAGTGCCCTCCTCTTACACATGGAGTTCTTGGGGAGAAGACAGCAGCCAGGGAAACACACCCCTGACCGTAGAGAACTGCTGGCAGCACAGAGCCCTAGGAAATAAACGGAAGTAGGCAAAGTGGTGGTGAGTGCGGGAGGAAGGGGCACCGGAGCCGGGGTCTGGAGGAACCTTGAAAGGCCTGTTCTGAGGAGGTCCCCAGTTACAGGAAGGAGCCAGGCATGAGACAGGAAGGACCCTGGGGATGGGGGGACTTCGGTCAGAGTGAGGTCCACAGGGAGGGTGGGAAGCTGCCTGCGCAGGCAGGGAGTCTAGATTCTCTTCTGAGACCAGGGAGGGTCTGAGTGGAGAATGGTGTGATCAGATTTTTTAGATCAGATCTCAGGAAATACTTGCTGAGGGAAAGCAGGAGCAATCAGCACACCCCAGGGAGGCCCTGGGGCCACAGGCCAGGTGTGACTGGCTTGGTCATCAGGCTCTGGCTTAGGAGTGACAGGCCCAGTACGTGGCACTGCCCATCTCCATGCCTGGGGCAAGGGAGCTGGCAGGCGCTTGAGGTCACCCCTCCTCTCAGACAGTCCCTGTGAGCTGGGCTGCTTTTATCTCAGTTTGCTTGTTTGTCCCAGGATGGCTGGTTTCCCCTGGGCTTGTGGGTGCCTCTTGATGCTACCCCCAGTTGGCTTTGGCCCCTGGGTTTCCCCCCTTAGGTCCTGGTACCATTGTCCGATTTTCCATTTCCTGCCCTTAAGTTACCACCAGCCTCCAAGCACACACATCCCTTTTGAATTGGTACTGACTTGCCTTCCTGTTCAGAATGCCCTGTAGCTGAGAGGTTGGGAGTGGGAGGTGGAGGCAGAGCAGGTGGAAGCAGGCTCAGCCAGCACAGCGGGCAGGCTGCCCAAGTCAGAGATGCCTTGTCCAGTCTGGAGGCCTGAGAGGACAGACTGGGTGGGTCATGGGGGAGCAGGCACTAACAAGGTGGCTGCGCCCAGGCTTGCACAGTGAGCCCAGAACCCTGGGGGAGGAAGCCCAGGCTGGCTTCCTGGTGAGGTGGGCTTCCTTGCAGAGATGGGGTAACTAGGTCAGAGTCCCTTCACCTTCATACTACTGACAGCTGGGGCTGGGTCATGTGACGTTGTGAGGACCATCCTGGGCCTGTTAGGATGTTCAGCAGGATCCCTGGCCTCCTCCCACTAGATATCAGTAGTACTACCTCCCCCTCCTGTTCGTAGCAACTAAACATGGCTCCAGGTGCAGTCAGATGTCCCCAGGACGGGAGCACAGTTGCCCCCAGTGCAGGATCGCTGAACAAGGGTAAGGGAGTGGAGCATCCAGGTAGAGGGAGCTTCCTTGGGGAAGGTAGCAGGAGGGCACCAGAGGGAGGGCTGTGGAGGTGGCATGGCGGCAGCAGTGACCAGGGGTGGAGATGCAGCATGTCAGTCCTTATGTTGCTGTGAGGACTTGGACTGAAAGAGCCCCAGGCTGCCATGGGCCTGCACAGGTAAAGCCTGTTTAGAGGGATGGCAGCAGCTTGGATCCTGCAGTCTATAGACTCCAGGGATGTCCCCGCCTCTTGCCTAGGTGACAGCTCTGCAGAAGTGGGCTCAGGCAGCAGGGAGGTAGTCCCTGGCTCACCGCCTGGTCCCTGGATACACTGGGGTATTGACTTAGCTGCCTTTGACCTTCAGGCAGGCCTGCCCCTGGAGAACTTCCCCAGTTGGGTAAGTCATTTCTAATTAAGGCTGTTGTTGCTCAAGAACATGGCAGGTTCAGTCCTGCTTGGAAGGGAAAACTTCCAATGCTGTCTACCTGTGTTGACGGCACTCTTCTGAAAAGGAAAAAAAAAAAAAAAAAAAAAAAAAGCCAGGTGCAGTGGCCCATGCCTGTGGTCCCTGCTACTGAAGAGTCTGAGGCAGGAGGATCACAAGTTCGAGACCAGCCTGGGCAACTCAGTGAAACCCTGTCAACAGAAATAAAAACTAAAAGTGGAAATAAAAAGGACTGGGACTGTGGCTCACTGGTAGAACACTTGCCTAGCATGCACAAGGTCCTGGGTTCCATTAGAAAAACAGAACCAAATTCAGACACCCAGTTCTCAGTGCAGACTTCCCAGCCCAGTGTGGAGTGCACCCGAGGTATGACCTTCACCCTCCTGGCTGCTGGGGTATGAGTTCCTGTGATGTGCTCCCCTCACGCAGAGGCAGCAGGAAACGTGAGACAGTACAGGGTTTTCGGGGGCGGGGACAGTCTGTTAGCTTTAGTACCCAGGGTGGCAACAGCAGCAAAGCCTTCATCTCTGGTTCTGTCACAGGCGAGGCCTTGAGTGTCACCTAGAGCAAGCCCTGGAAGGCTGAGAGGGCGACTGGAGTCTGGGTTTTCTGGAGCTCACACGTGTTGTACAGACCCCCTCTCCTTCGCCACTCAGGAATGCCTGCTGCAGAGGGGGCTGGGGCTTGGAGGATGAGGGAGTTCTTTCTCTCAGGTCACATGGCTGGGAGGTGGGACCTCGCCTCCCTCTACACGCACCTGACCCGGATGCTCCCTCTTTCTGCCTCCACTTCTCACACACACCGGCTGCCCTCCTACCCTCAGAGCCGCAGCAGCTGCTGTTCCCCTGCTGAGAATGCTCTTCCTTACCAGTGTGGCCGTCCTGTCCTCCAGGTTTAGCGCCACAACACTTGGTCCCTGCTAGTCATGTGGCACCTGCATTTGTAGTGACACGTGGAGTATTGACCTGTGTGCAGTCTGGCTTCTGCTTCAGACACTGATCTGTGTGCAGACAGAAGCTGGCTGTCACATTTACCCTGTCTTCCCTGAAGCTCTTGCCAGCGTCTGGAAGTTCTGGGGCCCTCTTCCCTTTTGCCTCAGTGTGTCTGGCTTCTGAGTACCAGTCTTCCTGGGCAGGTCCTGTGGCAGAAGCTCTTTGGTTTTTTTTTGTTTTTGTCTTTTTGAGACAGGGTCTTGCTATGCAGTTCAGGCTGGCCTTGAGCTCACTTTGTAGCCCAGGCTGGTCTCAAACTCGCAATGATCCTCCTGCCTCAGCCTCCCAAGTGTTGGGATTATAGCAGTGTGCCACCACACCCGGCTCAAGAAGCTCTTGTCTGCTGTACCATCTCACAGGTCGCAGAAGGACTGATTGCCCTGTCTGTGTTGTCCCTGCCCAACAGGGGCAGATGCCCTTTCCCTTGTTTTTGAGTCCCTCCTCCAGCCTTCAGGAAGCCACTGGCTCCTTTCTGTCCCCGAGTGGTTCTTGGACACTCAGTGGTGCTGGCTTCCGGAACGTATACCTTAAACCAAAGAGCATAGTCCAGCCCTTTTGTAACCTTTGCCGCAGTTGCTGCAGTGTGTCTCATCTCCCCGCTCCCGTTTTTCAGGCTGGGGATGAGCACCATGATGTCAGAGGTACTGGTGGAAGCAGGCTGGAGTGAGCATCTGTGAAGAGAGTGAAAGCCAATTGTGTGTTTTTCACTAGGATGTGGGCAGGATGGTCAGGCTATAAAGAACTCTTAAAAACAGACCCCAGGGAGCCATAATCCTACCACTAAAGGAGGCTGAGGCAAGAGGATCATGAGTTTAAGTCCTCCCTGGGCAACTTAGTGAGACCCTGTCTCACAAAATAAAAAGGGTTGGGAATGTAGCTCAGTGGTAGTGCACCCTGGGTTTTGTCCCCAGGACAGCAAAAGAAACACAAAAAACCAAAAAATACAGACATGCTTCCTGGAGCTTGTGCATGGTCTTGTACCCCATGGAGTCGCTGGTGTAGCCTCACCTTGCTTTATCTTTTAGGACTTTTGTGTCCAGCCGGAGTTCCAGCCTCACTGAGCCAGCCACCCTTGAGAGCTTCCTGCTAAGGAACAGCCCCCAAGCACTGACCATGTCTATTATGGACCACAGCCCCACCACTGGTGTGGTCACGGTCATTGTCATCCTCATCGCCATTGCTGCGCTGGGGGCCTTGATCCTGGGCTGCTGGTGCTACCTGCGACTGCAGCGCATCAGCCAGTCAGAGGACGAGGAGAGCATCGTGGGGGATGGCGAGACCAAGGAGCCCTTTCTGCTGGTGCAGTATTCAGCCAAGGGACCGTGTGTGGAGAGGAAGGCCAAGCTAATGACACCCAGTGGCCCAGAAGTGCACGGCTGATCTGGGCTATGAGGCTCCTGGTCCTGTCTGCAGCCAGCTGAGAGGTGCTGGGAGAGCGGAACACACACATGCTGCTGCTGGAGAGGAAGGGTTGACACTTGCTGGCATGGCCTCAGCAGGCTTCGTCATCGCATGCACTGACTCCGGGGGCCTGGCTGTCTTGGGCTTCCCCTTGGCCTCCTGGTGGGGCTGCCCATTGCAGGCAGTGGGTAGGCCTAACCTTGCTGGGGTTTGTGGCCCCTTAGAGCTTTTGTTACTTGAATGTTTAGCTGAGCCTGTTTTTGACGGAGCTACTACTGTAATGCGTGAATTAACAAACCTGTGAACTGTAAATAGGCCCCAGAAGCACGTGCTTAAGCCTTTTTGCTGATTTTTTAAAATATCACTTCTAGCACATGGGAGGAACTGGTTTGATTAGGACTGTACTCATGATGAACTGAGTCAAGACCATGGTGGGTCTTAGACTTTTAAGACCCAAGCTGCAGGGGGCTCTTAATGTCTATCTCTGTGTCTGTCTGTGTAAAGGAAGTGAGATATCAAGTGTTAGGTCTTGTAGCTTACCAGTTGGGGTGCTTCGGTGATTTCTGCTTGGTTAGTACTGGGCCGAAGAAGAACCACACCCCTCCCTCTGTTGAGGAGATGCAGTTGTTAAAGTAGTAGTGCCTGTTGATGGCGTTATTGCAAGGAAGCTACTGTACCTGCTTGGGAGCCTGTGAAGGACGCGTCAGGGCACGCGTCCCGAGAGCTGCCAGGCAGCTTGGTAGCAGAGCAGTTTCCTGTCCCTTTGGTCTTGTGCATGCTGAGTACACCCCCTTAGCTCAGGCTACATAGAAGCACCAGAGCCCGTGGTAGCTGTCTTCTGTCTGAAACACAAATGGCCCAGGAGAGGAAACTTTTTTGTTGTATTTAATGTTCTCTGCACTGGTGAGGTGGAGGAGGTGGCTGCTGTTGCGTGTGTCGCCACCCCTCCACTCCCTTTTCACAAGTTAGCTTCCTTTCCTCTCTGATGACCTTCCACCTGCTGGGTACTGGATTTCACTTTCCTCAGGGGGTCTCTGTGGATGGTCACGAGGCCCCTGACCCAGCTCTCAAGGCACCCTGTGCAGTGGAAGGTCTTCTTTTTGTGCACATTCACATTCACACAGGAGCGACCAGATGCTCCCTGCCAGTCTGTACTTAGTGCAGGGAGTGGGGGAGGGGTGGGAATTGAGTTCAAGACTTGGTCCTCACAGATGAAGACTTGGTGGCTCTCAATCCCACACCTTGACAGCCGCATCTCCAAGTTGTCCCTTGTGTACACTTCACTGTGCACCCTTAGACTTCTAATCTCACCACTGACGTGTCTCCTGAACATCACGATTCAAATGTGACATGCGTTGGCATCTTGGATAACAAGCCAGAGGCCAGCCCAGGCTTCACCTCAGAGCACTGGCCTTATACACTTGAGTCAGCTGCAAACAGTGTAGCCAGGGAGCACAGAGCTCAGGCTCCTTGCCAGGCTGGAGGCATCGTCTCTGAAAAGCATGTTGAATCAATCCACTTTCCAGAACCCCTGTGGGGAGCTATGGGGAGCACTTCCATTTCAGCAGCATTAAATAATGACTCGGGTGGGAAGGGGGGTAGCTAGTGAGGCCGCTGTGTTGGAGGCAGCACTGAACCACTATGAGTGGGCTCCTGGGGCCTCTTAGGGAACAGGGGAGGATATACCTTTGGCCAAGTGGGGAAGAGATGGTGAGGGCCAGTTGGACAAGCATTGGCCGTGCAGCTGAGGTGGGCAGGGGGCATGGTGGTGCCAGTAGTGGTCCAGCCACTGTGATGGGACCTTGGAGGGGGGACAGAGGGCCCAAAGGTGCCAGCTAGTGATCTGTGAAGGAGGTAGTTGGAAAAGGCTGAGGCTTTTGATCCATCCCTTCCCATTTCAGACCTTCTGGGCTTTCTACCTCTACTCAAGTAGCCAGCAGCATAAGCATAGGCTGTTTGTTCTTCAGCTCCCTAGCCCAGCTGTCCATGGGTGGCTGGGATTTGCATTTTCTGAGCCTGGCCTTGGAACTGACCTTTGCTCTACTGTCAGACTTGCCTTGCAGCATTTACTGTGCCAGTGAAGCTTTGGTTTTGGAAATGATTAGGTGTGGCTTTTTCACCAGTTTCAGTTTTGGAGATTTTCTTATCCCAACCCCCCTGGTGGGCCAGGGACATTCGTGCAGCTTGACTTGAGCCCATCAAAGTGGGATGGATGCACGGGTTGGGTGAAGCCTGGTGGAGTCTTTAGGAGGAAGAAGAAATGCCCAGAGAACTGGTGAACACATTACAGCTCTCCCTGTCAATATTTATCAGTAACTCCTTTTCTTAGCACAGATGCCAGTCACACTCAGATGCTTAGTAAGTTATGATCTCTCTGAATTCTTTCTCAGTAGCCCAGCTGTTGCATTCAAGTTTTCTGAGTAGCCAGGAAATTAACCTTTCATCCCTCCTGTCATGTCATGGAGGCAGCAGCAGGGGAGTGGGGAAGGAACTCTTTGACATTGAGCCACTAAATTATAGACTAATTTTTCAGACCGCTCTTCATATGGACTGTGCTACTGTTTTTGTCTCAAAGCTACCAAGTTTGTGCAATAAGTAGAAGGGATGTCATCCCTGTCAATAAAAGCTGAATAACATTCAAGTTCATTTTCTAGACCACTGAGAAAATCTTTATTTACAATAAGTTTCAATAAAATTTGCATAAATATATTCCCAATGTACAGTTTTCACCTCTGATTCCTTCATTACTTCAAGTTAGTCTGTCCTGTTCTCATTCCTCTCAGATGCCACTGGGGAGCTGGCATTGGAAGGCAGGGGAGTCCCACTGGGTAACAGGGGGGCACCTGCAGGCTCAGGGTGGTCAGGGTGTGCTTCTCGCAGCGGGGTCGGGTCCTCGGCCCCGTCCTGGCCCTGCAGCTTTCTCTCCATGGTGGCCACCAGGATCTTGAGCCATGTGTTCTCGGTGAGGAGAGTCTCTGAGGCATCAGCCAGCTCCTCAAGCTCACGGGCCTTCTGCGCATACAGGGCCTGCAGCTGCTCGCTGTGCTGCCGCAGCAGGCTGTGCTGCTGCTCCAGTGCCTGCTGTTGCCTGCGCAGCCGGCGCTCATCCCTGCGGGCACTGGACAGCTGACCCTCTACTTGCACCTGTGCTCGGTGAAGGCTGCTTAACTCTGCTCGCAGTTTCTGGATCTCTCTCTCCAAGTGGGAGATGTGTCCCTGCTGTAAGGCGGCCTCGCTCTGGAGACAACCTCTGGAAGGGGTGCTGGCCACATTCTGAGGGGCGAAGGCAGGGTCTGAGTGATGCAAGATGAATCTCAGCAGGTTTGGAAGGGTGATGGGGAGGTCTTCAGGGTATTTCACACTTAGATCTTTTCTGGAGAGAAAGGGAGAGGAGTCAAATATGAGTCATGGCAGCAGGCACAGTCCAGGTGCTACTGGAGATCAGTCAGTCTACTCTTAGCAAGATAAAACAATAACAACATCAACAACAACAAAGACATACTCTGAGGAGTTTGCTTGCAGAAGGTGAGGATGAAAACAGTTAACCTGGCCACACTTCTCCAGGAAGCTGTTCCATTCACTTGTGCTACAGAGCAACTCCAGTTTCTAAACACAAATTTCTAGAAAAAGGTAAGTGCTTCCAGGCCTAAACCTGAAGCCAGTGACTGAGGGCACTGGGAATGTGCCGTAAGGCACTTCCACATGCTCTGTGAGGCCCAGTGGCCACGCAGGACAGGCTTCCTCGGCAAGACTGTCACCAGGTCACTTTGTGGCTGTCAGCAGTGCTTGGTGAAGTTGGACACATGAAAACTCTGTTTCTGCAGCCAGCATTATTGTATGTTCTCTAAGGCAAGACTTCTCAAGCGGGATGACTACCTCTCTTGGGACACTGGGCTTATGGCCTCGGAGGCTAACACCAACCAAGAGACCCAGAGGAATTAGGGCTTTCTGGGCCTTAGTGTGTCAAATAAGGAGGGTAACACTGGAAGGGGTTCCCCCTAGATTTGTTCAGTGTTCTTATCTAGGAAATTCTCTGCAGAACTTATCATTTAATGTCTGACAGCCAAACCTTCATAGATATATTTACCAGTGCATGCACAATCTAGCTGCACTAAATCGAAGCTACCAACTTTTTTGCATTTATACTTGAGGTGGGCTAGACAGGGGATCTGCTCCTGTATACATTAAAGGAGCAGAGGTCAAGCTGGATGTGGTGATGCACGCTTATAAACTCAGCCCTCAGGAGGCTGAGGCAAGAGGACTACCTTGAGTTTGAGGCCATCCTGGATTACATAGCAAGACCTTGTCTCAAAAAATCAAAGGAAGCAGAGGTCAAGGGCAGAGATCCAGAGACCAGCTTCCCAGAGTGGCTCTGTTCACTGTCGTATGCTCTCACAAGTGACTTGCCTTCTGTAAAATGGGGACAACAAGAGTGTCCCCTACCTCACAAGATTGTTAGGCGCTCAATGTAAGCTTGAAAAAAACTGCACTGTTCCTTAGGAAAGCACTAATTAAAAACCCACACTCCCTCCACAAACAGTCACTGGCCAAATAGCTAAAAATGACAAAAGCTGTTCTATCAAAGTGTAGCCCTTTCCCTAACAAAAACTACAAGGAAATTAAAATAGATATAACACAATTTACACAATGTTTATAGAGGCCTTCAGGTAGTTTTTAAAAAATTCTCAGGTAATGTTAAACCTGAAGTACAACTTGACACCTTGCACACACAGACTGTTTTATACAATAAAATAATTTAGGAATTTAACTGTCCCCTCCTTTAAAGCACAGCTCTCTAGGGGCTGGGGATATAGCTCAGTGGTACAATGCCTGCCTGGCAAGCACAAGGTCCTGAGTTCAATTTCTGGTACAAATAAATGAATGAATGAAAAAATAAATAAAATAAAGCAAAGGACATGGCATGGAAACTCTCTGAGTGGGGCCTGCAGTGTGCTGAAGAGGGTGGCAGGTAGGTGTCGGGAGGCTCGTCTGCCACTCCCTCCTGCAGTGCAGAGTGAGTTCTAGGGCACAGCACAGGTGTACCACGGGCAGCAAAGGGCTGAGAGGCACCTTCATTTGTCTCTGGAGACAACATTGAGAAGCATGCTATCTTTAAGGGCAATGCCACCAGTCTCCCTAACAACCATGCTAAAATGCTTTCACTTCTTAAAAATAGCTAGGACACAGACTATCAAACAGCTTCCCACAAAGTACTCCTTTTGAAAGTGGTGGTAAGAGGTCCACTACTGTGTCTGATGCTTCGTTTACCCGGACGAAGGGGCTAAGTTCTCCTTGGAAGCAATAAGGTTCTTCTGTGGGAGCCACCCCAAAGTCCCTTGGTGGAGAGTGTACACCCCCACCACCTGGCCTAGGGCCAGGCCAGGATATCTGCATTTTGTTTTTTTTTCCCCAGTCCTGGAGATGGAACTCAGGGCCTCACAGATGCTAGCAAGAGATATAATCTCAGCATTCTGGGAGGTGGTGGCAGGAAGATTCCAAGTTCAAGCCTAGCCTGGGGAAGTTAACCAGACCCTGTCTCAAAATTACAAATTAAGGGGGGGTACCTTAGAGCAAAGGCCCTGCCCCCACCCCAGTTAGTTTGAGACAGAGTCTCATTAAGTTTCCCGGGTGGGCCTTGAACTTTTGATTCTCCTGCCTCAGTTTCCCAAGTAGCTGGGATTACATTTGTGCACAACTGAGCCTGGTACTACACTACTGAGCTGATGTAGGCTACTGTGGGTGTGGCTCTGAGACACCCCTGAGCAGGAAGGTGATGGTCTCCCTCACAGTCTGCCTGCCTCCTGCCTCTGGAGAAGGGAGGCAAGGCCAGAGGCAGGACACAGATGGCTGGGCTGAGTATCACAGAAGGGACAGGCTCCTTCAGTCTGTCTACTTCATGACATTTATCAAAAGGGACATATCTTCCAGTCAAGAAATGAACATACCCTTCACAGAGGAAGAAATACAAATGGTCAACAAATATCTGAAAAAAATCATCATCATCTTTGGCCATTAGGGAACTGCAAATTAAAACAACCCTAAGAGTCCATTTTACTCCAGAAAGAATGGTATTAGGAACTCAAATAATAAAAAATTGCAGACCTGGCTGTATTGAAAAAGGAACCTTCCTTCATTGTTGGTGAGAGTGTAAACCAGTACATCCATTATGGAAACAAGTATGGAGATTTCTCAAAGAACTGAAATTGGAAATTCCACATGACCCAGCTATCCCCCTGCTAGGTACCTCAAAGACAGACATTATAGAGCTTAAGACACCATATTACAGTGATACACGCATACCAACGTTTACAGCAGCACAATTCATAATAGCTAACTCTTGGAAGCTGCCTGTATTCCCCTATGTTGATGACAACTGGATAAAGAAAATGCAGTCTCTATACACAAAGGAATACTACACTATAAAAAAAATGACACATGAGACACTTACAGGATATGGATGCACCTGGAAAATAGAATGTTGAATGAAATAAGCTTAAATACCAAATAATACTTCTCATTTGAGCAAGGCAAAGTACAGAGAAAATGATAAAGGATGGGTGGAAAGGGACAAAGTGATGGATCTTTTGCAGTATGGAAGTGGTCCAAGGGAACAAGGGTGAGGGGTGAGGAGGAGGGGAAGGGGAAATAAGTGGAATAAAGATTCGCCATGTAGAGAAACATAATCTCAATTAATGTACATATTATAGGCTATAACATGAGCTAAGAATATCAACAAGTATGGAAAAAGGGATAAGGGAGTAAGGGGAGAAAGGGGGGTTACAAAAAAAAGCTGTGACATGTACATGGAACCACTCCCCAAAATGACTATAAACTGCATGAACTGCAAACATGTACTAATAAAAAAGGGACATATTTATTATACACAACTTGCGAGCAATTTGTGCAAAAAACATCTTCAATCACTTACAATCCTTACCTCTCTGAAGCAATCGTTACTGACACCTGATACTTCCCTTTGTGCACATTTTCACACACTGCATGTGTGGAGGACCACCTGGATGACTCTCCTTGAAAGAGGGGCAATTATCTCCATTTCGGCTGAACCTGACCCTATTTCCATGTACTGATGTGTACAGAGCTGGCTAGGACTTTTCCTTACTACTTCAGTTGGCTTTAAACAATGCAAATCGGTCCAGCTGAGGTGCTGATGTGTAGTCTCTGAAGCAAGGCAACAGGGCAGTGCTTCCCCAGCCCCCCACATAGCTCCCAAATGAAACACTGTGCCAGCCAGGAGAGATGGAGAGCAGTGCTCCACACTGTCAGCTGGGATGAACCTCAAGGTAAGAGGTTATGACTTCCCAGGGCATAGAAGATTACACATCAGAGCTGAAGCACTGACCCCAAAACATTAGTTACTACCTCAATTGTGTTATGCAGATTACACTTTCTACATATTGCAGAGGTGATTTCAGGCCACCTACCTAGCCCAGCTCACAGCACTCATGCACTTCCCGTTATTCTCAGTCAATCATCCTCAAATCACTCCCTTTTTCATGAATTAATAAAACCCAGGTTCAGCTGTAGGTTGATGCCTTTGTTCTGGTTAGCCATTATCCTAGCTGGACTTAGGACCCACTGGCTCCCTACAACTAGAGACAAATATGCCTTAGGGTCTTTATTCTCAACATGGATTGCCCAGGAAGTGGTAGATTGGAATTAACTTGCTAGAATTCTAGTAAGTTTTCTATGGGATTACAAATACAAACTTCCCAGACCATGACAAGGATCAGGAAGGGCTCTTTATATGCATACACAAATTTGCACTTTTTATAGTGCACAATTTTATATTCTTTTAACTAAAAAGAGTGTAAGCAGGTCAACTGTGAAAAAATTCTTATTACGTGTAATAAAACAGCCTTCTTCATTTTCTCTTTTCCAAGTTATCAACTCATACCATTTACCAATTTCCCTCCTGGGTAAGCCAAACATTCTCTTTGGCCAACTAATGATGAGCTTACTTTACTTGTGCCTATCATTTGTTTTTAGGAAATGAGAAAAATTCTACTCCAAAGCAATTAAGACCTTGATCAAGCTCTTTCCATTAAAATAGAACAGGGCAGTCTTTTGCTACTCAGTATTTCCCTCCTGACCTTTCCAGTGTAAAGGGCAAGTTGGGTTAGCAGAGGACTGCTGAGAGTTTAGGCCAACCTAGGCTACAGAGTGAGCTCAAGGCCAGCCTGTACTACATACATAGTGAGACAGTGTCTCAAACAAACAAAAACCATGCAACAGATGGAGGAAGGGGCTATACCAACTGGCCCACCTGATCTGCAGAACAAACCCACCTTCATGCTTCTGACCCTAGATAGCTCCAAGGGAATTATCACCTGTACCTGTCCTGCCCTTCTTTCTGTCTCCCTCAATCAATGTATACTCATTTATTACAAGAGCTAGACATGCTTTACTGTCTCTGTCCTGTGAGACAAATGTTCTTCATGCAAGGCAGATGTTGGGTGTTATGACTTTAATACTTTATCAAACTATGTTTGGAATTCAAAAATTACATGTCATTAAGTACTTGTCAAACTTCTGTCCCACAAAGATGAAACTGCTACTGTTGGTGTCCATGATTCTTTGATTATGTGGCAATTTAAACACTTCTTGGGAAGAGGTTCATCTTGACACACACAGCAGCAGAACAGAGTGAGTCACGTTCTGTTTTTAGTGTGTGATTTGACAAGAGTCTACTACTGTACCACAGGAAGTATTCCTGCAAACATTCTTGGAGATAAAGGCAATGATTCAAAAGGTAAGAAAGCACTCTCTCTGACAAATAGGATAAGCATACAGCAGCATAATGCATTGTAAAAGGGAGGCAGGAAATTGAAATAGCAAATGTTGCCCATGTGGGTCAGGGCCATCCTTAAAAGGATCGTGCAGACATGTTTCCCAAAGAGTGGATGCCCATGAACACCCATCCTAAAACCAAAGGAAACCTGTATATAAGACTGCCAACATCTGGCTTACTAGGCATTAAAGGACCAAGGCTTTCTTTCCTTTTTTACGGAAATACTTCCACCCACATTTGCTCATTCCAATTCCCCTTCCTCTTTGTTAAGGTCCCATCCCTGCGTGCTGGGTGCTGCCAGCACAGTTGCAGCAGTAACTGAACATGGAGTAATATTTAGGCAAACGTGATAAGATCAAGGTGACAAGCCCATGGCAGACATGCATAGTATCTGCACACATGCAGCAAAAACTCCCTTTCAGAGGCTCTACGAACCCAAGGAAGGATGGTGCAAGTACAAGAAGGATGGGGTGCCGGAGGGCTAGATGAGAAGTGATTCTTGTGGAAATCTTGGGAAAAGCAGAGCTTATAGACTGCCCAATGCCTTAACCCACACCTACATGAGGCTCTTTCCTGTCCATCCTGGCATCCTCTGTATAGTCATATAGGCCATGAAAACTAACAAATTCTGATGGCCACATTCACCATCATATAAGAAACAGACTCAAGAAAGACCAAACTTCAAAGAAAACCATCACACATGACAGAGACAGCAAACCATGTCTATGTCCGTAATGGCACATTCTTTGAACAGTTTAGTCATAACAAATGATGATTTACTTCTTAAACCCCTTTTATTGTCGGACCTCAACAAGAGAATCTCATCCTTCCAATATTGCAAAATTTCACCCTTACCTGTTGCAGGGAAAAAACAAGATGGTAGGAAGCCGGTCAACCATAAATTCCCAAGGAAGATCATTCTGAGACACATCAATCCTGGCAGTGGCAAAGGGAAAAGTATAATAATGAAGAGATTGGCCTACAAAATGCAACATGAAGGCTGAGGTTTTTTTTGGTACCAGGAATCAAACTCCCAACCTCACACTTGCCAGGCAGGCGCAGTGTGGCTGAGCTGTATCCCTGGCTGAAGGAACCTTCTAATAACTGAAAAACCTACTGCATTCCTACTCCCCTTGCAGTAAGGACACCACCAGGTGCATGCCAAGCACTGAGAGCTTCAGGGCATGTAACACCACTTTCAGGAACTCTTCCTCTGAGGGTAATGTCATGTTCTGAAAGTAAAACTGACCCCCCACCTCCAATGCTTCACGAGTAGTTGACTCACTTAGAAGTATCTGGTCAGGTAATTCAATCCCTGAGTAAGTTCTAGAAAAAGAATGGAAGCTGGGAGTGGTACTGCACACCAGTAATCCCAGCACTCAGGAGGCTGAAATAGGAGGATCACGGTGAGTTTGAGGTCAGCCTGCACTACAAAAAGAGGCCTTGTTTCAAAACAAAAAACAAAAACACCCCCAAAATAACAACAAAAAAGAGAAGAAAAAAAATGAATGGAAATCACTAAAGAGACGCCTCTACGAAGACAGATTATCCTGCTTTACATGTTGTAGACCTGGACAGAGGCCATAAACAGTATATCAGTGTGTTTTCTTAGCAGATTATAGATCACTACAACTGCTCAGGTGGTCAGTTCTTCAGTAGCAGCAGCAGCAGCAGCAGCAGCAGCAGCAGCAGCAGCAGCAGCAGCAGCAGCAGCAGCAGCACTAAACCAAACTTGTGCATGTGTAGTGAGGCTCTCATGTGTGCAGATGGGACAATGAGCATGTACAGCATCCTTCAAGGAAGGAACTACTTACTCTGTCCTAATGCGAAGGCTGCTTGGCCAATATTCACAAATGCTGCACCCAAAAGATGGAAATGTTTGGGAACAGTACCCTGATGGGAGTTTTCAGAAAGCATAAGCAGTAGAGGGGTAGTACAGTGTAAATCACTGCCATGTGTTTAAAAGGACGAAATTCATTAAAAAAAAAACAAACTGGCACAACTGAATGAAAACAGTTTCACCACAACTAACAGAAAAGCATGTGCTCGCTTAGGCAGCACATACACTAAAATTGGAATGATACAGAGAAGATTAGCATGGCCCCTGCGCAAGGATGATATGCAAATTTGTGAAGCATTTCATATTTTTGAACAGCTAATGATTACAATATTTTATGTTCTGATCGACTGTGCATGCTTGTGTCTGGTGGTCTGAGCAACTGATTTGAAGGTAACAATATACAATGGAATTACAATGGTGAGCTCCTACTATCTTGTCTAGTGAAACTGTATTATCTCTACTGTTTTATTGAAAAATTATTTTCTTATTCCCTATAATGGTTTGAGCAATCTTTCATTCTTACATCTGGTAATCTGAGCAATGTAGTTGAGGATAGCGATATGTAATGTAACAACCACTGTTGATTTCTTATTATTTTGTCTTGAGACTCTGTATCACTGAATGTTCTTGCTTTGATTTGTTTATGTTTGTGATACTGGTATGCTGCTACTGTTCTATTTCTTTGTTTCTCATTTACTACTCTTTAAAATTAAAAAAAAAAAAAAAAAGAAAAAGAAAAGTATGCCTAATTCTGTCTGTAAGAGCCTCTCTAAAACAGCAGAGTTTCCACTTTATAAGCATTTGGTGTTAAACACTATATTCTATAATCAAATGCTTTTTTTCTTCCTGATTTTTACCTCAATGAAAGAACTAACTAAAACTAAAAGAAAAGCACTGTAAGCCAGGCATGATGGTGCACACCTGTAATCCCAGCACTTGGGAGGCTTAGGCAGAGTTTGAGACCAGCCTGGGCTACAAAGTGAACTCAAGGACAGCCTGAACTGCATAGCGAGATCCTGTCTCTCTCAAAAAAAAAAAAAAAGCAGTGTGAAAGTCCACTTCAAATTCCATCAGGCTAACTGGTGCCTTTTTCTTGGGATTCTCATTTAGGCTGGGTCTGTTAAATTTAGTTTTCGGACCAGTTATGTCATACTCTACTTTTCAATTAATGGTGTAGAAAACATTACTTTCATGAATGGACAAAAACTGTATCAAAGCTGGGTGTGGTGGTGCACACCTGTAATCCCAGCACTTGGAACACTGTGGCAGGAGGATCACTCTAAGTTTTGAGAGCAGCCTGGCCTACACAGTGAGTCCAACAGCAGCCTGAACTACATGGTGAGACCCTGTCTCAAAAAAACAAAAACGAACAACAACAAAAAACAAAAAAACCAAAAACTATCAAAAGTCAATGTGACTGACTTCCTATTCATCTACTGTTGGATATAAAGAATGCTGTAAAGACTGGCGATGCTTCTCTGGAATTTCTATTTCCCCAATTCCCCAAAGTGAAGTTAACTGGGTGGGAAATACATAACTGTTTTTGTGATTTCTCATAAATTTTCCCAAAATACTTTCCAAAGGCTCATGCCAATTTACTCATTCCATTAGCTACATCTGATTGTGCCAATTTCAGTTTGTTTTATCAACACAAGATTCTGTCACTTAAAGGCATTTATGAATTGAATAAGTGTAAATCACACATTTTTAGCATTTTAATTTGCATTTATTAGGTTCAAATTTCCCCACTTATTTATATACTGTGCTCATAAAGACCTGCTATGTCTTATTCACACACAAGTTCCTCTCACTTGTCCTTTAACCATTTTAACCCTGAGAGGTCTAAAGTAAAAATCCTGATTTGGAATCCATCTCTGAAATTTGCCTAATCTTTCTGTGCCTCACTTTCCTTCTCAGTAAAAAGCAAGCGACGACTCTACCAACTTTTCTGAATGTTCCAGACTCTCTGACAGTACAATGCACAACAGATAAAACAGATGCTGCTTGAAAGTCTTTATAGTGTTCCTTTGTCTTCACTGCACATACTTTTCCAGTGCCATCTGTTCACCTTTCTTCCATTATTTTTTCAACTGGTTCTACTTTAGAAGTTCTCTCAGGAGAACTAACAAATCCAATATTCTATCTTCTTTGTGTGTGTGTGTGTGTGTGTGTGTGTGTGTGTGTGTGTGTGTGTGTGATTTGCTCTTTTCTATTTAATCTGTCTGTGGGGATATTTTGAGGGGTAGGGAAAAAATCTAAACACCCCACTAAAACTACTTACTACCTCATAAAAACCCAGCATGTGAGCTTTTTCAAAAAAAACAAAACAAAAACCAAAAACTACTAAAATGCCTTTGTTTATACAAGAGCCCACATGGCATTATAAAATGAGAACCCTGGCTATCAACCAATTATTCTTCCTAATTTCCGCAATGAGGAGGAAAACAAAGGCTCGTTCTCCAGCACAGGCCAGTGGGAACCCCACGTCCCCTTTCCCATGGATTCCAGGCAGTCAGAACTGCACTTGTCCTCCCACAAATCTAGTCAGCACTAAACATACTATCACAGACACTCAGAATTCATCAGAAGGTCAGTTTAAACAGGGCTACGCTCCTGGCTCAAGGCTGACAGTGAAATCCAACCACACCTTACCTCCGGCTAGTGGGAAACACTACCACACCATGGCTGAGCTGCAAATAAGTGAGGACAGCACAGCCCACAGCACTGCAGAACAGGCTTGCTTACCTGGCCATAGTGAATGTATCCACTGGCAGGAGACGAGCAAGTTGGATGAAGATGTGATTGAGGGATGGACAGAAGCCGCACCACTGTGCATAATAGAGCAGCAAGACATCCTGTGGGGAGGAAAATGGGCATTACTTGTACCTGGGAACTGACCTCTCTTCCCTTCCCTGCTATGCTTAGAATCCAGTAGGCATTCAGTCAATGCCACAGCCATGCAGAAATTACTGAAAATTTTCATCTTTACATAATTTTCAACTATGTGTTTTTAAGAACTTTCTATAATTAGGAAAGCATGTAATTCACTTATGTTCCACCATCAGACTGTCACGTGGCTAATGTGTACAGTACTCAAGAACAGACCATTCACCCCAACAACTGCTGCTCTGGAAATTATTTTAATAGGGATGGATAGCTTTTTGTCTTCTGGAGACTCTACCTGTTTCTGAAGGATGACTTCCCAGAAGGTATCAGTTGTTACTTCAGTGATTAAATGCTGAGCAGGGAACTGGGCAGAATCACTTCCAATGAGATGTCTTTTCAAGGGACTGTAGAGAATGCTAAAGTTTTGAATAAAAGATTCTAAAAATAAAGAGAAAATGAGATCAGGTCTTCTCTAGGTACAAGGAAAATAGCTGGCCTACTTTAAACCCTACACTTTAAAAACAGCAATGACTTCCCATGCTTACATTTTTAACATTTCACCTCTAAGCAAAACCTTGCACAAAGCTGCCCAGGGTGGCATCAGGCTTAGCTTTGATAGTATTAACTTGGCAGATGTAGTAGGACAGCAAAACACCATGCAGTTTTAGATGCTCTAATACTCTGAGTCTAGAAATCCAGTCTTATTCTTTCCTAAAGGGACTGGCCCACAAATACACACCAAGAATGAATACACTATCAACATGTCATAATCTTTTCAAGAGTTTTCAATCTGTATCTCTATGGCATTGATGCAGAACTCCAAATTCAGTAACTGTGCAAGTCACAGGAATGTGGAGGGTATATAATGCTCATTAATTTGAGGACAAGGAACTATGCTTTTTTGTTTATTTAATAAAGTTTTTTCAAGTTTTTAAAAAGATTAACAAAAATAACTCAATATGTAATAGAAAAATACCTAAGTGAAACTCAATGACAAAAAACCCTAACTTGAACCAATAGGTTTACCCTCCTCACAAGGGACACCATTTTTAGCATCTTCTGCCTTAGATGAAGCAACACTAATCTGAGTTTCACTTCTTTCTCCTCCATTCTGAGGTCCTAAAGAACCACTCTGCAGACTGAGAAGGAAGTGAAGAATGTCCTGTGAATGCTAAAGAGACTTCATTATCATACCTAAGACTTAGTTGGCTAAGTTTTTGAAATCTAAATTCTGAAACTGCCCTACAGATAGATGGCTGACTTATGAGTTAGCCTTCTAAGCCAACAATGACACAAGTACATGGTTTGTATCATAAGGACCCCCAAGAATCACCAACTACAGGACAAAAAACAGCTGGGCTAGACATTACAGAATAGGTAGAAAAGATGGAATAAAATTCAAAGGCGTCTTTCTCAAAACCCTTAAATTCAAGGTGAACACATTATGAGTTCATCAAATGGTCAGGTGTTACTGAATAGAATTCAGGAAAATCCAATGAACTCTTCCTTTTAAAAAAGATATGCTGGGTAGGTGTAGTGATGCACGCTTGTAATCACAGCACTTGGGAGGCTGAGGCAGGAGGATCAATGTGAGTTTGAGGCCAGCCTAGGCTATAAAACGAGTTCAAGGCCAGCCTGAACTGCAAAGTGAAACCATGTCTCAAAAAAAAAAAAGCAGGCGCTGGGGATTTAGCTCAGCGGCACAGTGCCTGCCTGGCAAGCGCGAGGTCATGAGTTTGATTCCTAGTACTGGGAAAAAAAAAAAAAAAAAAAGCAGCAGCTTGTCGCTTTTAAAGAAAATATTCCAAGATGCTCTTAGAAAACATGCCCTGAAAGTCCCCATAAAGTGGTTGGTCACAGACTCTTTTAAGCACCAAGAAGCCTTTGTGATTATAATATATAATTTGACACAAAACTCAGATTTACATCAATCCTTAAAGAACACGACATAAGAAACAGGAATCACTTAGATTGAAGAGGGCAGCTACACAGAGTAGGATTTAGAAGCTCTGAATTCACTCCTGCTTTCCAAAGTTGAAAATAAAGTTTCCCTCCCTACTAAATTCCTCCTTTCTCCACTTGGCAAACTCAGTCTCCCCTGAGTTTCCAGTGAGGCTAAACTAACAAGGCTTTTGAATTTCACTTCCTTGTGCATGTCAGGGACCGCCGCAAAGTCCTGGGAATAGCACAGCACAGTGGTCAGTTCGCTATTGCTGCCAACTCCAGGGAACAAAGCTGTGGGGTGCTTTTCCAAAATAGACCCTTCACCCGTGAAAAGTAATTTCTACTGGTCTGCAACTTGACATTGTCCGCCCTTGACACCTGTCTGTTACAATCTAGGCATTCAAGGTCAGAGTATCATTCATCAACACTTCCATAAAACTACAGTGCAACCCCTCAAGCCTGGAGGCCTTGATATTTATTTCAAACCCATGAGACAAAAGGAGGCAAGGTGCTTCTATTTTCTTACTGCTTTTAGCTTAAGCTCCTTTAGGATGCTGTGTTAATGGCTCACATTCACCAGCCCCTGAATATCTTGCCAAACAGCTCTCACATTCCTGACTGGTACAGCTGCCAGGTCCCCAGTGCCATAGCTGGCTCTACCTTAAACACGTGACAGGAACTACCAATCTAGAAAGCTGGACTCTTCTCACCATGTGCTGACAAACTTCTAAAATTTGGAAATAGGCAATTTTTGTTCCATTTAATAGACAAACTAGCTTCTCTTAAAATTATGACCAACAGATAAGGACAATTTATGACCAATGTCTAACAACTTAAAATGAGGTCAGGCATGAAGGTATAAGCCCAGCACTTGGGGAGGTTGAGACAGCAGGACTGCCGTGAGTTCAAGGCCAGCTTGGGCTACATAGTGAGTTCAAACTGACACTGACCTACATAGTAAGACCCTGTCTCAAAAAACCAAAAGCAAAGGCTGGAGATTAGCTCAGTGTGAAAGCCTTGGGTTTGATGCAGAGTACCAAAATAAATACTTAAGATTAGCTATAGCATTTATGTCACCCCCACAGTTAAGAGTAATGAGACCATCAACCTAAGTTACCAATGTTAAGCACAACTCATATGCTCAGCGAAGCAAACTTCCTATAGTACCTAAGGTGAACTTCATGAGTACTTGTTTTGGATCCAAGATATAGTGAGACTCTTCTTTCACATCAACAATTGTGGCAAATTCCTTCACGTGGGTGGAGCTTGGAGCACCCAGTCTCTGGGCATATAACCAAAATAGATTGGAATCCAAAAGGTAGATGTTCAGGGTTTTGTTGGTTCTGCAGCTCAGGCCTGTGAAGGTGGTGCTGGTCATGCCCACTTCAGGGAAGAGATACCTGTTCTCCTCAATGTGAGGAACAGAGCTGGCGGTGGTGGCCTCACACTTCTTCAGGGAAGAAAACGCAGTGCCTGGGGTTTTAAAGATACCTTGTTCAGAATCAATGAAGCTTACCCCGCCCCTGTTTATGGTCCTGCAACATGCAGTGTAATAGCTAAAAGGGCTATAGGAAGTTAAAAAATTGCTGCATTTCATGCTGTCTGATGCCACGTGATAAAAGGTCTGCTCCTTGAGGTAGAAGGAATCCAAAGTTGCTGCCATCTGGAAGAAGCTGCATTGCGGTGCACTGACTGAGCTCGGCCGGATGCCCCCAGCAGTCTGGTTGACACACAGCTCGCAGATGTTATGGGTCCTGGAAAAGGAGTGCCCCTGGGGCAGCACCACGGTGTTGCAGCAGGGCAATGCTGCTGTTAGTGATGTGTCTGGCAGCGGAGATGATGGCTCTGGTGCCAATGACTGCGACATCGGTGTATCGACCTGCCGCAGATGCTGAAGGAGACGCTCCACCACCTGGTCCCTATGACAGTTGTTGTACTCCAAGGCCACTTCGGTGATCTGAAAGTCAGAGCAGAGGTGATGAGGGCCAGGAGGATGACCCCAAGAGAGAGCACACGGTTGATGTACCTGGAAAGTCCCCTGTCATGTCACAAGATAGAGGAATCCAGGCTAAAAGCACACAGTCACACCAAATTGATCAGCACAGAGGCCTAGGTTAGTTTTTACAATGTATCACTCATTGTAAGGTAGCCCAGGCTGTCAAAGAACTGCAACAGAAATTAAATCTCTTGACTCTCAGTTAAGTAAATCTTCCTTTACCCTTTGAAACTCCTGTCTTCTTTTTCTATTTTAATATATCTAAAAACTTTACAAACACCTAACCAGTGGATTGAAATGTTCCACAGCATATACAGTGCCAAATAAATTAATGCCACACAGGAGGCTGGCAATTCAGCATATTGCAAACCATACTCACCCATCTTATCTTCCCCTACAACCTATTCCTTCTTCTGTAACTCCTCCTCTGGAAAAAATAGCGTCATTAAACTAGAAACTCAGAGGATCCTCAGTTTACCCTCTGTGCCATCACCTGCCTCATATGCAGCCCACTCTGACTTCAGCAGCCCCTCCTCCCCAGATTACCATCCTTCTCTCCCCCATCATAACTGGACCTCCACACTGTCTCCCCCTTTTAAACATACAGCCCCAAAATGACTGACATTCGTCTTTCCCATAGATTTATGGATCTGTGTATTTATCCTGCTATGCTGAGAGCCCACCACAAGGCCAGGCACTTACCAAATGCTCAGTGAGCACTGGAAGAAAGCAGGCCTTTCAGGATAATGTACATACTTCATTAATTTTTTTTTCATACTCCCTTTATTGATGAGATTAACCATGCCATCCTCAGAGCAGGATTAGTAATTTAAAAGTTAACTTTTCCTCCAAGATTCTTCTATTTTCAAATCAAGTAACTTTACCTCCTACCCTTACCCTAATCCTAGTTTCCTAAGAAAGATGAGCAAGTTATAATTCAAAGGCATTTACCCTTTCAAGTAGAGAGGTGTCTGAATCAACTCTCACCAGTTAGCTAAAAGGTGTTAAATCACTCAGGATTTTATTTCATTAAGTGTGGGTGAGTATGACAGAGAGAAGTGTATGAAGTGTGTGTATGTGTACCAAAAAAATTATTTAATCAGAGCAACTCTTTTTTTTTTTGGTTTTTCTCCGGTACCGGGAACCGAACTCACGACCTTGCGCTTGCCAGGCAGGCGCTTTGCTGCTGAGCTAAATCCCCAGCCACTCAGAGCAACTCTTTTAAAAAACAGCTTTGTAATAATATTTATAAAGGGAGTTAATTCAAAGCATGTATTTGTACAGAAAAAAATCAACTGAATAGTTCTTGGCATTAAAAAAAGTTACTTTAGGTGATAAACCAGTGTTTTGTTTTTCTGCAAAGAAATATCTCCAGTCTATCTAGATGAGGCTCTCTAGTGGCACACTGTTACCAGGCCAAGTCCATCTGACCCACCAGGCCCCACCGCCCCATGCTCATCCTGGAACTGTCTGGCATTTAGTGATATAATAGCAGACAGCTAGTCCCATCACTTGTCCCAAACACAAAACTTCGAGATTTACTGTCATCTTTTACAGAAAATTCAAATAGGAAAGCATTAAGCCAAAAAAAAAGAATTATGCGTTGGGAATTTAGCTCAGTGGCACAGCGCCTGCCTAGCAAGCGCAAGGTCGTGAGTTCAATTCCTGGTACCAGAAAAAAAAAAGGAAAGCATTAAGATTTCTAGAATCTCCTTTCCTCACCCTTTTCAGTTTTGCTATCTTTCACAAAACAGCCATTTGAAGAATATCTTTAACTGAAGACAGTATTTTGTATATAGAAATGCTCTTGAGTCACTCTTACTTCCTGCTAATGAATGGAACTATTTTGAAACAATTCAAGCTATATCCCATTACTGTATCAATGATATATTTAATTCATGTGAACTATTAAGAAAAACTTGGCAAGTAACTCTGAATGTCTCACCGCAGACACTGCCCTCTAGTTCTCCCACTAGAGAAACCCTAAGTCTCTTCAATAACAAGGTTCCTGGTTATCAGACTCATATGAACACTGCAAAAAAAAAAAAAAAAAAAAAAAAAAATAGAAAGCTTAGAAACAAGTCACGTCACCTCTGTTGGCTGAGCACGGTGCTGTCCTTTAACCTCTCTAGAGCCCTCTCAGAACCCCTGGATGTTTGCATGTGATGCTGGAGTCAGGATCTATGCTTCTCCAGCAGCTACCATCTGGTCACTTCTGATACCCTGTCCATGTCACCATTAACTGTCTCAAATGTCCTTGCCTGGTATGTTCCTCAGCTGTATCATCCTCACTCTAAGCGGATAGGATGTGGGTGGCAGTCTCAGATCTTTCTCTTCTCTACAATGTGAGCTTCCTCAACTTCCTGCCCAAAGCCAGGCCTACAAAGGTACACTGAAACTGCCTTAAGCTCTTTCTAAGGTGTTTATAATTTACCTTGTGTTAAGTGTGAACCAATGACTTCTTCACCTCTGGTCATGGTTGCTGCTGCTCTGACCACAGACCCTACCTGCTACCTCCATCTCCACCACCCAAGTTTAGGTTCTTACTATTTTTCACATTTTCAAACCTTGTTGCCAGGAGATGTCCTGCCCTGGCCACATCTCTTCATTGTCCATGTGACTCTGATAGGTGCAGCGAATTCTGGACTCTTTGGAGGAGCACCCAGGGCTCCACAGAGCCTGTGCTCTTTCCCAACACAACCTCCCACTGCTTCCTCTCCTCAGGTTCTGCTTTCCTTTAGTTTCCCTTAATCCTGCAGGATCAGACTATCCCTCCCCCATGCCCTCAAAGCCTCTCTTCCCCCTGCAAGTCCTCCTGACCTTGAGCCTGGGCCTGATCATGCTTTGCTGGACAAGCTTAAGACAGGGATCTGAGACTGCCACCCACATCCTATCCGCTGAGCGCACAGCAAAGTGTTCAATAAACACTCGCCAAACTGGCCCAAAACTAAGAGGGAAATACGTGAGGTGAACAGTGGCTCATCCACACAATTACAACACTGTATGGAGCTATCTCAACCGTAAGCTGAGGTTGAGGGAATCTACCTACCTCACAGGGATCCTGGGAACCCAAGGACAGGAGTCACAGGCAGAACTGTGACACAAAGGCCAGTCAGCAGGTACAGGAGAGGTGACATGTAGGGGAGACACTCATGGAGGAACAATGGGCTGGAAAGCAAGGTCCTCCCACCAGGAAACTAACCCAACCATGACCCTCTGAAGAGGATGGGGACTCCTGCCACAGATACCCCGCCCAAGACCCTGGTAGACCCAAACCAGACGGGAGGACAGTGCTACAGAAGGAACCTTTGGAAATGAAAGTAAAAATCCACACCTACAGTCACCACCTTGGTTGAAATCTTGCCTTTTCTACAAAGACCTTGAAGGCTTTATATACCAGAAATGGCAAAGGCCTAGTCACATGAGTGTCTCAGTTCATAAGGTACCTGCATAGTAAAGATTTCTAAAGAAATGAAGTTTTACTACTTCAGGGCTTCCCTCATCAGAGGGGAAGAAACAGAACAATTCTAGTTCTCTCTTCTTCCTCTGAGCCAAGAACAACAGTAATTCAGAAGGTTCTTAGCAGGAATAAGAACCAATAAAAAGACTCCAGAGAAGCAAACTGCAGAGATTTAACTGGCAAGAAGTCTTGCCCATCCCTCCAGGTGGGAGCCAAGGGGTGTGTGCACAGGTAGTGTCTGCATGGCCTGGCCTGTGGTGCACTGGCTGTCTGAAACTGTTTTTGGCCAATTAAGGGATCCTTGAAGGAAAGAAAAAAATAAAACCCTCTAAATCCAATTTAGCAATCTCAGGCTCTCTCTACTGATTGTTATTGCTCTGAGTGCCTCCAAATGATCTGTGTATAAAATAAACTCAAATTCAGAAACAGCAAGTGCCCCAGAAAGCAGTAAAAGCAGGAGGGAGGGGCAGAATCCTAGTGACAGCTGTCTCTGAAAGCCATTCTAGCTATCTGTGCAGCAACAAGAAAGGTTTAGAAAAACAAGGTGTCCCGACACCTGCTGCTGAACCTGGCTGCTGAGCTACACATTTTTCTGCTGTCTGATGATAATGGCCACCCTCTGTGACAGGGTCACCTCCTAGTCCACACCAACCCTTGCCTGTATGCTTCTGCCACTCCCCAATTTGCAAGTTCAATGTGAATGGCCTCAGGAAGAAACATTTGTTCTTTCTCTGGAGAGGAGTGGTTTGATTTCCCATCCCTCCTACTGACCTCACATCCAAGCAGCCGGCACTAAATATGGCCAGAGAGGCCCGGGAAGTCCCTGTCCTACGCATGGCCCTCTTATCCACTTAGAGGAGGAAAGAGCAATGGCATTAACTGCAGCTGCCATTCCTGGCAACCACTTGGCTGCTAGATTAACAGCCTTGAATATGGAGAGAGAAGTCCATACTAGTTAGCACCACGACCACTGAGACTCTTACCTCATTTATTAGGGGATGCCTCTCGGCTAAAGGATCGAATGGTATGAACAGGAAGAGTGCCGGTCCCTTCTTCAGCTCGTTATTCAGCAGGAGACTCTTGCCTCCATGGGGCTGCAGCCACTGAAAGAGTGTCTCTCGGTTTTCTGAGGCCCACTTATAGATGTTCTCAGCTGTGAAGTTCATGACCTCCTTGGGGAAGACCTGCAAAGGAACAACACACAGATAAAAGAAAGCTGAGCATGCCAGGACAGAACCAAAGTACACAGCACTGTCCTCCAGGGTGGTCAGCCCACACTGCAGGAAGGATAAGATGCCTAGGAGCCACCAAAATGGCCTGTGCTCTAACCACTTCTCCAGACAGCCTTTCCTCACAAGTGGTCAGAAAGCAACAGTGGGTGCAGTAAGTGATTTTTCAGATCAGCTTCTTCCTTTCATAAGGACTCACCTACACACAAGTAACTTTCCCTGTCTCCTGGTGGCCATAACAATCTCTATTACCCTGTCCGAGGAAAGCTATGAACTACTACTAGGCGTTTATAAAAAGACCAAGACCCATCTACAAGAAGAGGAATTATGAAGTCAAGGATTGGTTGGGTTACTTTGGTCCCTCAAACCCTGCTCACAAATGCAGTCTCCATGAGGCAGGAGCTGCATCTGCCTTGCTCACAGGCATCTTCAGTGACTGGATGAAACCTTACCACACAGCAAGGACTCAAAAGATGTGTGACTGAGTTAGTGAATGACCAAAATCTGCACAAAGCCCAGGATCACAGTTTCTGTGTTGGACGGAAGAAAGACAAACTAAGTTTTTCTGTGTTTTCTTTAACAGTCAATGTAGGTGAACATAAAATTATTTTTCAAAGTCTAATAATACAAATCATTTGTTTCAAGCAATTTCCAGAGATGCTTTAAAGGGTTTCATAAAATGAGATATGTGATACCCTCCAAAATGGAGATTTAAATTACTCTGTAATGAAGATACCCATCAGCTTTTTCTTTCTTTTTTTTTTTAAACTTTGAGACAGGGTCTCACTAGTTCAGGCTGGCCTTGAACTCACTATGTAGCCTAGGATGGCCTTGAACTTGTGGCAATTCTCCTGCCTCAGCCTCCCAATTGTTGGCATTACAGGTGTATGCCAACCATATGTGACTACTGTTTTTTGTTTTCGTAAATACAGCTATCCCAGTATTTCCTTTGGTAAAAGGAATTCTACTGCTACACAAACCACACCTTTAAATACTATTCAACTGAAGCAGTAAACTCAATGTAATTCTCACTGTCATCTCATAGTTTTGCCATTTTTCTCCATTAAAAATTTCTTTCTCAGTACCCTTTACAATAAATAATTATGTATAATATGTATGGTACAATTGCAAAATGTAAGAAAATGATAGCTAGTAAAAGCAGATGAAGCCAAAAGAAGCTTAGACAGCATGAAGAGAGTGAGTGGGTGGCAGGGAGACAATCACAGCAGTGGGATGATAGGAGTGGGATGATAGGAGTTTGAAAACAGACACTCAAACACCATCACAAACATTTCTATTTGGAAAACATAAAACACACATTTGACTTTGGAAGATGAACTGCAAGAAGTAAAGCACAACATCTAGACTTCTAGATATACACAGAAGTTAGGGTCATGACACGCAAGCAGCACCCCCAAAGAGGGCCTAATGGCACCACTGACTCAGGGGAGCCCAGGCTTAAAGAGACCAGCTCACTGATCTTCATGACCGTAAGCCACTGACACTGACAATGTTAAAGTGACAGAAAACACTTTAGAAAAATAAACTCTCAGTGATGTAACTGAGGAAGTAGAAGAAAAGCACAAGATTATGCAAGATATACGTCAAAGCTCAGAAACAGCTGAGTGGAGTTGTCCCACCAAAAAGCAAATGAAACCGGGGAACAAAGGAGACAATATTTGCACCAAGAATCTCTGGGGTAAGAAGCCATCAACTTCTCACTGTGACTTGATAAGAACTTCAAAAGTCCATTACATCTGCTAAGGAGAAAAGCAAGTCACATTACTATTCTTCATGAAAGGAACAAATAAGCAAAAGACATCACCCAGCAGAAGCTCCGCTTCTGAGAACATGGGACCAGAGTAACAACTCTCCAACAGAGTAACTGCAATTTCATCCAAGAAGGCAAACTAACAAGACTGTATCAAAATCTCATAATATACAGAAAGAATGTCTAGATGTTACAGTCAATAGCCCTCTAATGCACAGGCTCTTAACCAGGGGCACAGGCTCTAAGGTGGGCTTGTAGGAACTCTCAATGTATAGACAAAATCATGAGCATTTCCTAGACAGAGTGTCCACAGATTTTATCTGATTCCCAAAGAGTCTGTGACCTACACAAGGTTAAGAACCACTGCACTATTACAAACACGATTTCAAAATACTTACAAGTGATGTGTTGAAATGTCTATGTAAATACACACTTCCAGAGTGTACTAAGGAAACCAGTTTCGCAAGATGTTTATTTGTGATAACCCCAAATCGTACTGTTCCTAGGTAATCTGAAACAGAAAATTTTCCTTTATTAAAGAAAAGGCCTATGCCTTGAAATAACCACAAACCCAATGATCCAGTAGTGATGCGTAAGTCCCCTAGATCAAGGAACTATTTGATAACCTAGTCCAGACAGGGAAGGAGGAGCTGCGCACTCTCCTTCTGCAGCAGACCTCAGCCCTTCAATCACTCCTGAGAGTAACACATCTCTCACAGTCCCTCACACTAAGGAACCTACCATCTCCCTCTATGACAATCTGACCTGTCTGTCCCCCTTGCTCACTAGGACCACCTCTGGCCCAAGGCACATACTGTTCTCCCTGACTGGACACTTCTCATGGCCAGCTCCTCTTCATCATCTCACCTCTATCTTCTCTAAGAAGCCTTCTTCGTCTACCTGCCTAACAGCAAAAGCCCAGGGGTTGGAGGCACAGGGAAATATATTCTTAACTACTATCCTATTTTTCGTAGCTATTTATACATGTATACATAATCTTATTAATTTATTTAGATTTTCCTTGGTGCAACTTCCTTTTCAGAATTAGAGGCTTTCTTTATTGCTGGTATCCTAGTACCTACATCAAGGCCAGGGGTGTTTAGTAAGACACCAATAAATATTTGTTAAATGGACAAATGTAGCATATACAAAGAACGCATACAAAGGAATAAGAAGGGCCAGGGATATAGCTCAGTGGCACAAGCACCTGCCTGGCAAGTGCAAGGTCCTGAGTTTGATTTCTGGTAC